AAATTAAAAAGCTGTAAATAGTAAGCATAGAAAGGTACCCTTAAATCCTTTAGTAACTGGAGATTTCTTTCGAAGACTCGATTACATATTCCTAAGCTTCAAATCAAATCCCTTAACAAATATCGTTATGAAAAATCTCAAAGCTGTGCTCCCACCGCTGATAAATCAGACAAATAGCTGCTGATACTTTTGCTGCAGCAGAGCTTCTACTGTACTATTTTTCAATCCCAGGGAATGCATAGCCTGCAACGGGTTTTTATTAAATTCCGCAATCGAATTGCAGGCTTTGCCCCGCATCCCCGACCGCCGTATCCTGGCCAGATCCTTATGAACTTTTACAGAGCCATTATATGCAAATGATGTGAGTGGAGAAAGCAAATATTGCTACCTCGGGCACTGGCCACAGTGGGGAAAAGCGAAGGAGTCGAGCCAGGACCATGCACACGCACTGCCATTGTTTGTCCTGGCTGGCTGCCTGGATGGCTGGCAGGATGAGAATGCGGATGAGAATGGTCCATAGTCCTGGCTCATGTGCAGACATTTACATAGGCAAACAGCTTCGGCTGCCGGCTCCTTTCATCTACTGCCCTGCTATCCTGGTATCCTCGTATCCTGGTACCCTGGCATCCTTGGTGTCCTGGCACGAACTACTAATAAACCAAAGACGGCCAGCAACAACAACAATGGTGCTGGCAGCGGATATTAAGCCTGAACCGGCCCCGAGGTCCCAAAAAATAGAGGTACCCTACGGGCAACGGTTTTTGAGATAGAGAACCCATCGGAGCAGGAAGAAACAGGAAAATAGGAGGAAAAAGCGGCTCGGCCTTCGAAGAAAAAAAGGCCAACTCCCTAACGAGGGTAACTTTTTTCCAAAGATTAAAGATGTCCGGCAAATAGTGTAACGATACGGACACAGTGACCTGCCCCCAGCGTTGCTTCTCGCTTGCCCATCACCCAAAAGTTCAGGAGCTCCAAAACCGATGACAGCTTAAACAAGCACCGCCAGGGGGCGCTGCAGCAACAGTTGAGCCTGGGACAGTTTTGAGAGCATCCCCAAAGGCGAAACGGAATCGAACATGATTTGTCGCCTATTAACATGCACTGTGGGCAAAATGGATTTAGTTTGCTGTAAAAAAATTAGTATTTAATTCTAAATCACACTGTGCAGCATTTTAAGGATTTTAAAGTGCAAACGCATCTTGGATTTTAAAATCTAAAAGTAATAATGGAAGCGAGTTAAAACCCATTTGGTTTTCCTCTAGCTTACGCCATTTGGATATTATAATTTAATACATTCGTTATACTTTAGTTTAAAATAATATTTAATAATTTTTTTGCTATACATACAGGTGATACATTTATATATACACCTTACTATCCTTTCTTAAAGACTAGTTTGAATTTATTTTAAGATTGATTATCCAGCAGTAACCAGTGTCACTCTTAAAGAAGTATAACATGTTGTCTGAAACCATTTGGCACCAAAAGTTTGGACTTGTTAGCAATTATGCACGCGTGCCATCCTATAAAATGGGGGATTGATATCTTGGTGGATCCGCATACATTATAGTGTCATATGTGAAAAAGTTTACTTAACTTTTACTTTTTTTACTCATTCTTTTACCCATTTTGCTTTACGCACCCTCTTTTAGTTACATCTACTGAGAATATTTCTCGGTATTTTTGTGTCCTTTGCAAATTTAATCACTTAACCCCAATGAAGTATGAAAGGAAACTTTTGTCGCCCACAGGAAAAGTTGACAGAAGAAAAAGCAGTAGAAAACGGAAGAGCGAAATTCACTTTTCTCGAAACGTGTGCACAGGAAAAAAATTTATTTCTACTCAAAATACACAAAAAGAAAAATATTAAAAGAAAATAGAGTGTACAGCTATGTTTAATATAATATAATGTTTAAGAATATTTTTAACTAATTCGTGTTTACCCTTGACTTAAAGATATGACACAATCCCTGAACAATAGGTTTATTTTTAGGTGGTGAAATAATTTTTTTAAATACAATTTTTTCTCAAAGTGTGGGTGATGGAGAAATTGATTTTTGACTTGGCAAAGGTCGCAGCCTGAGCATATTAATTCCTCTCAAACCCGAACTTCAACTCTGGCAAGAACCAAAGGATACAAGAGCAGCGATTGTGTGTCCTGTTGCCATTCTGCATGTGCGATATGTGTGTGTGTTTGTGGGTGTATCTGTGTTGGCGTATATTAAGTGTGCTGGTGACTGTGCCAAGGCGCCCAAATGACAAAGTTACTGAAATTACCCAAAAGCAAAAGTTTTCGTAAAACTGCTGCTGCCTCTATTGATGCTTCAGCTGTTCGGATGCTTCTACTGATGGTTACAGTATGACTTCGCAATGATAGAATTTGTGTAAATCAAACTATACAAATTTATTTCTATCCAAATCTATTACACTAATATTTTTAAAACATATTTCATTGGAATTAAACGGGAGAGTAACAATAAAATTCATAATCATTTTCAACTTTTTTTTAATAAATAGAATAAGTAGCATAAGAAAGTATAATTGAAAAGAAGAACTCTATAATTTTTTTAAAGTGTTGACGCAAATATAAATTAAGGAAGGATTAGTACCTCAAATCGAAACCAATCTTAAACAACTATCCATTTTTTTTTCAAACGACTATTTTTTATGGACATACCTTTAAATTTTAAATTGTCCATCTGGAGATATGACGGTACTACCTTTTTTGGCTATGCTACTGCTTTTGCGTCACAGTCTCATTTGCAGTTCGACTCTTAAGCAGAATTAATGAGAGCTTGTAACCTAAATTCGCTGGAAAACCAAATAATATGAAAGTTTTTCTGTTTGCTTTCCGTACTCCTGTGTTTATTTTACCTTTTCTCGTGTGCATTTTTCTTTGTTTTGGATGCTGGCCAGCAAGTGCGCCAAAGGAGTTCATTTCGCATAGAGGACATGAAGCTTGTGCAGAGGATTTTTACCAAAAACTTCACCCATGCAGTCTCATTAATGTGCTTTGGTCCCCCCAGCCCTTTCTCCTCTGCCTTTCTCTTCCGAACTGACTGTCATTTGTTGCAACTTCTCCTGCAAATTGTGGCAAAGTACTTTCTGCAAGTGGCTGCTTAAGGTACTCCGTGTTCTCTCATTTGTGGCTGGTTGTGTGTGAATTTCCATGGTTACAAGGACACATATATATATATGTAAGGCACAGACAAGAGTTTGAATATCCTGACACCTGTAAAACTTTAGGTTTATTGGCAATCTCCATGCCTGCTTTGTTTTTCCCTTAATTTAAGCCTCTTTTCATTTGTTATCCTTTTGGACTATTCATAACATATTTAGAATTATCTAATCACTGTTAGTATCAAAATACATTGCCTTAAGCTTTATAATTTCTTGTAGTCAGATATATTGTTATTGAATTTAACAGTAGTATCTTCAGTAATTAAATATTTCAGTTGATTAAATTTAGAGAAGTTAAATGGATTTTTCAATATGGTAGTTATTTTTAGAATTATATTATATTTTTAAATTGATTAGGCTCTTCAAAATTTCTTTTCTCTGCATTTTCGCCTTTTCATTTTTATACAAAGGACATTTTTTAATTGACCTTTAACCTCCTGAGATGTAGTTTGCCACTCTAATCCTATTTCCTGCCAAGTAATTCAATCAGTTCGAATAGCTTATCCATAAGTTAATTGAAAATCAGGAAAAACTTGTTGTCAAAGTGTCTCTCTTCATATTTTGACCCGCAAAATGCTTCTGTCTTCGACTGGACATGACATTGCTCTCAACTCAGCTCCACTCAAGTGAACTCATCTGAACCGACAACAATTGCAAGTCATATCGATGGTTATAGATATAGATATAGATTAGTATATAGATACGGAGATGTAGTCAAGCAGATTGATATGGGCCTGTGTGCGTCTTGCCTTTTCTTTGCCAGTGTGTACAATAATATCCTCTCACATTTTATTACACTTGTAATGTGCAACGTTTGCTGGCAAAGGCAGAGGGAAACTGTGGGCTCGGAAAAGCCAAGTGAGCAGTCATCCTCGGGCGGTGTAATAATGTGGGACACGCCGAAAAGAGTGGGTGGGCGTTAGTGCGTATATATATCCCATATTCCGCCACTATATCTCCGCCCCCAGCCCCGCCCACTATGTGTGTGAGCTTGTTTCATTGTCAATATTGACAATAAACAAGTTTGCCATAAAATGTAACAAGGCAACGGCACAGTGAGCTTCAGAAGTTGTCCGCCCCGCCCAACAAAATCTATATGAATCGAAGACCCTCAATCATGTGGCCAAAGCAAAACATCATTTCCTGTCAACGCATTGACTTATTAATATGTGGGTATATCATTATATACAGCCCATAACCGCACGGATGCGTAGCACTTTAACAAATTAAACGAAAAAGTGTTGCCGATAAAGTGGTAAAATGTTTTTTATAAATTATATTAAGAATACATTATGCATTGAAGGGTTTGGGCTGGGGTCCATCGCTCATTTTGCTGGTCAGTTGACACGGGCTCTAGTGAAAATAAACTTTGGTAATTAATTAAAAATTTCCAGGTACATAAATCAATCAGGCGACCACCGCCAATTAAAGTTTTTAAGCACCTGGACAAATAAAGCAAAATGTAAATTTAAAAGGTTTACATTTTTTCGATTTGCATGTGGGATTTTCTCATCACGAAGGCATTAACATTTAATGGGGAATGCAGCTTGAATGCTGTGCAATTTTTTGACAGCTCATTTAAATATTCTCAAATGGAAAAAATAAATAAAAAAATAAATATATACTATTTTAAAGTAGGCAATGCCAAGGATTCGCTCTGATGTTATGTTATATATAGTTTCTTATAATAAGTATAGTACATAGACTACTTTTTTTAATATTCCTGTATTATCGTATACCTCTTTTTAACACCTATTTACCCCGATAGTTATTTGTTTAAAATCCGCTTTAACTTGTTTTTTCCCTTAATTTAATTGCAGATTTCAGCGTGACTGGCCTGAGACTGACCGAGGTCCGCATACCGATGTACGTGATTAAGGGTTCCGTGGCGCAGTTGGAGTGTCTGTACGATCTGGACGGCGAGGCACTCTACTCGGTGAAATGGTATAAGGATGGCAACGAGTTCTACCGCTATGTGCCCCGGGACATGCCGCCTGCCCAGACCTTCCTGCTGCCTGGTGTTAACGTCGATGTGAGTATACCTATATACATTTATCCATTTATAACTAAGGCAAAAGAACAAAGCTTGGTTCGTGTTGGTGTCGCACTGAAACTAAACATTAAAACAACGTTGCATACTTTTGTGGTGCCAGCCGAAACAACAATGCCATGTGCTGGCTTTTCTCTTTTCTTTCTACATGGAAAAAAACATGTATTTTTAAAAAATTTGTTATACTCAATATTAAAAGGATTATAGGTCCAATAGTTATTCATTTTATTATTTTTTTTTTTTTTTTGAAGTATTAAGTTTTTTAGTAATCTAAAAATGTTTATATTTTAAACAACTAGTCTTGAATGTTTTCTGTGTACAAACTCTTCTTTTATGATCTGCACGTTTTTGTGGCAGTAAGCCGAATTGTTTCGTACTGGGATGTAGGCGCCTTGATGAGAGGTTAGGAAAGCAGTGGCAAGGATAGGTGAGTCCTCGTCTTCATAGACAATGCCTTATCCCCTGAGCGAAGACTGCGAGACAAAAGAAGTTTTAGACTATGTCTTGGGAACTCGTAGGTGGATAGCACAGCAAGAAAACTTAAGAACCTGAAAAGAAAATTAAAAAAAATGAAGCTTATATACTAAATTAAATCTTCATCAAAGCACTACAGTATTATTAACCAAAAATTTCTTCTGCTAAAGGAAAAGTACTTCGTTTGCTGATAACCGAAACCAGAATGACAACAATGTTTCAAAAACTGCCTTAAGCTCAGTTATTTAAGATTATGCCATGGAACACTAGATAATAGTTTAAAAACTTTTCAATGCCAAAACTTCACCTTCAGTTATCTGCGTGCTTCTCAGTACTTTTTGGCTGCCAAAATTCCATACTAAAAACACAACACGAGTATATACACTTCCAAAGGGCCAATAAAGTTTTCAGTTTATTACGCCTTCCATTTTCTTTGTCTTTGGCATTACCAATCTTATTTTGTGGAACGCTTCAAGCCAAGTTAAGAGTTTTAAGAGCAGATACAGATGGCATGTCAAACATATGCCAAGAAAGATAAAACATTCGCAGATCGAACTGTTTAATCGACCGCAAAAATAGAATGAGTGTAGGTGTAGGGCACATCCTCTGCCGTTGCTCCATTATTTTAGCCACTAAAACTTTGGCACGTAACAATGCACTAGACGTTAACCCACCGAAGCCCCCCCCAAAACCGCTGGAAAAGCGGAAAAGGGAATGCTGTGGGTGCAGTGGAAAAGCGGAGTGGAGGGGTGGAAAAGCGAGTTTCAGATAAGCACGTGAGCAGACAATCGCAGTCAGTTGATGGTTACATTCGACATGCCACGCTCGCGCTTCCTTCTCCCCACAATTCCAAATTTTCCCCCCGTTTTTCCTCTAATCTGCTACCGAAAAAGTGAAATCTGCTTTCCCCTGCCATGCATCTCTCTCTAACTCAGTACGCCTCAGTCGCTCGTTAAGTGCAATAAATATTTCAAGTTGCGCTTTTGCGTTTGCAGGCGGTAGTGGGCGTGGTCGACGGAGTGTCCATAAAGCGCGTTGCCCCCGCCGCATAAAATTCCACACTATGCGATCCACGCTCCACATTACCACTAAACGATTTCCGGTTGGGAGTACGGTGGATTGGAAAAATATAATGGTATAATCAAATTAAAAGTTTGTTATTTTGATATGAGTGAATTTAATGATTTAGGGGATTGGAAAAACCAAACCCCTACACGGAAAACGGAAAAAATTGAGAACATTTTGTATTATTCAAGAACATATTTAAATACTATTTGAAAGTGAGTATTTGTTTAAATTATTTTACAAATGATTAAACATTTTTTGAGTTAATAAAAAAAATTTTTTTTTATTTATTTAGATAAGTTACAAATTAAGTGTTACCTATTACTTAAGAAGCCTATTTAAATAATGATCTCATACTTCATTAAAAAATGTAACTTTAAAATACATTTTTACAACTCTTTGCTATTAGCGAGTTTATTTTAAGCACTCAATTTGCTTATACACCCCACTGTTCGCTGTTCCTTTTGCTGCTTGGCGGTAAAGTTTTTGATGTTAGGTATGAGGAGTAGCACTATGGGAGTTACAGAAGATGCCAGTTAGCGATAACCAATTGATGCGAATGGTGTGTGTGCTGGCTCCATTTGCTGGATATTGTTTTAGCATAATCGATTTGAGTGACTGCGGCGGGTAGATATATCTATGTACATATGTATGTGTGTGTGCCAAGGGGTTCCCTCGGTTGTTGTTTTGGCTTGTTTTATTGCAGTTGGCCAATAGTTGGCTGTTACTCCAACGGCCAACTTAGGATCTAGACATGCGGTTTACCTGGGCTCAGCTCTATCGCATGTCCGTGTGCTTGTGCGGTAAACTATAAATTAGGTTAAGGCAACAACAACAAGGTGGGGGGTTGAGCCGGCTAAGAATGCGCAATAAAAGATAACAAAGTGCACTTTTCTGCTTGGCCAGATAACAAAGAGTGTGGGAGGGTTGAACAACAGGCAGCTGATCTCCGTAACCCCGCCCGCATTTAGACCCGGATTTAATGGCTTAAAGTTCAAGTGAAATATTTGCCTAACCCTTTTTCGGTCAGACATTCCGTGCTGACCCTTCAAGGCGGGGTATTTTTTAAGGAGCCAAAGGCGTTGGACATCTCGGACATTTAAAAGGCATTTAAGGGAAATAAAAAAAAAGAAGGGCAAGAAAAAAGAAGGGCAGCTTGAAAAACAAGCGAAGCTGCGGCAGTTTTCAAAAGCAATTACGTTACATTAACGTCCAAAGTGGCTGCAGGAGCCAACCCGAACCCCCTCACCGACGCCCCTGGCTGATGGTATTGAAACTGCCAATGACAACGCCAAGAGTTACTGTGAAAAGGGGGTTTGTGCGGGGCAAGTGCAACTTTTTGCCCACTTTTCGTTACATTAATTTTAACCAGCCATCTCCTGCGTCGCCATCATTCAACAATTTCACTCGATTCAACAAAGTCTTCCCTTACGTACTCTTAATTAAGGCTTATTCGTTTTATAAAGTATTTAATTTGTATGTATTTTATAGACATATTTATATAGTTTTAAGGTCTTAGTTTATATATATGCTTACTATAAAATAAATGTTTTTAAAAAATGTTCACTTAAATCGGCGAATATAAAATTTAAAAAAATTTGTTTAGTAAAAGTCTTATAATATTATAATAATCTTTATTATATTCTATTAAGATATTATTATGTTTTATTATGATTTGTTTTAATATAATTTATTAAAATATATTATCAAGTTTATTTTTTGATATGATACTTATTTATCTAGCCTGCTCTATCGCGTAGGGCATTTAATATTTAGCTTCCTGCAAATTATTTACCATCTGATATACCCTGTTTTGACCGTTATTTTCCGCTCTCGTTTTTAATTGCAGTTGCACAACTCGAGCGACGCGATTGTTACGCTGCGCAACGTCAATCTGCAGTCGGCGGGCCGCTTCCGGTGCGAGGTTTCTGGCGAGGCGCCCTCCTTCCAAACGGTCACCGAGCACGGCGACATGATTGTTGTGTGTAAGTAGCATATATATCCCTCAGGCCCCACTATTCACCCCTATTGCCAACCCAACCCAACCCGACCGACTATATGCACATAGCCAGCTGAGAGTCGGGCGAAAACTTATAACTCTAATTAGAAATTGCGGCCATTTGGCGCTGACTGCTGGTGGCCCCAGATGCTGCGGCTGAAAGTGGTGAAGGGGGTTCTGGTGGTGTCGTTGGGAAACTGACGCTGACTTTGACTTTTACTCCGGAAAGTTGTCACAGAAAGGCGAGAGTCGAGATTAACCCTATAAAATCCCATTTCAATTGACTCTTTCCAAAAATGTATTCCTAACTTATTGAATATTTATGCAAAATAACACAGAATTTAATTTTTGTAAGATTGTCTAAAGTTTTGGTATCTATTAAATTACCATTTTCTATATATCTTTTTTATAATGACTACTAAAATAATAAATCTTGATTATTATTATTATTTTTGTTGTCCAGTAAGCCCCAATAATCTCTCTAGGGTTAATCCTTTTAATGGAAAGTAATTAAAAAGCTTTGAGCAATAAAAATAAAAGGTATTTGGGCTAGTGTTGATTGAATTGCTGAAAAGAAAACTTTAATTTTAAAATTATACTGGGAGAATTTAATGACTGGAAGTCGTTGTTGAAAGCATTACGCCTTACTTAACACTTAAGCCATAAAATCCAGGTGAAAAGTTTCCCTTTAAGCAAAGAAACTAATCAGGTAAACACACTAACCCCATTAATCGCCACCCATCTGAGTTTCCTTGGCCTTGGCCCCGTTCATTTACTTTCGCCGTAAGTTCAACTGATTACAGCATCCGCGCCCAATCAGCTTTATTCAATCGGAATTGTGTTTACTTAGTCAAAAAGCATTTTCAGTGCATTTGACAGGCTTCATTTGATTTCATGCTCCTAATGCCAAATAAGCTTACTGAACTTCATCCGGACGCCCACTTTCACCCCGGGCAAAACTTGCCAAGGCTTAACAGTTTAACTCAATTTCGGAGGTTGTCTGTCCTCGGGAACATTGGCTGTTGTCTTGGCCAAAATTCCTGCAGGGCAATGCCAAAAATTTTCTCAAGACACCGCCGCAAAACTTGAAATGCAAACAAAACAACAACTAAGACTGAATGGCAGTTGGAGGTGCGAGGTTATTATCCAGCCCCCTATTTCCTACACAGGAAATAATTGGAATTGTATGGTTTTGTTATTATACCACTTTGAAATCTCCCTTAAAAAATGCACTACTTTAAAATCATAAATAAAAAAATCTGTCTTGTTAGCTTATGTTAAAAACTTTTGCTATAGAAAAGAGATTAGCCACAGCTGCCAGGGATATATTAATAACCAGGTACAAGGTGAAAAAACAAAAAGAAATTTAGATTTAAATGTATATGTTTTCTGTGAATCTTAACTTGCCGAAAAACAGAATTAAGTGTATAACAAAATAAAGCTTAAATTACATGCAATTATAAGATATACCCACCATTTTGTTAGAATTTTTTTCTAGAATACATTTTAGTTGGATACAGCATTCTTTTTCAGTGTTCTACAGTTGAATCTACACACTTCCTGTATCCCCACTCACCACTACACGTACAGTGGGCGGCCCTTTGAACTGGCGTTGACATTTCGTTTGTTCAATTATAAAACTTTTGCGTGGGCGTGCCAACACGCCCTCTCTGGCTCCCACTTCCCCCCTTTTTTGCAATGGCTGTCTCCCTTTTATTGTTTAACGTGGACTGTGTCTTTGTTCTAACCGGGGGCTTTTGTTGTGCTTTTGTTTTCTGGCTTCGGCTTTCGGTGGTTGTGTAGCTGCTCATACTGCGGTCCCATCCCGGCTGGTTCTGTTTGGCTTTCAATCAAAGTTTTTAAAAGCTTCGGCAGCAGAACGAGCCGGGCATATGCCACGGCTCACAGCTCACAACTCACCGCCCACCATGCGCCCATTCAGGAATTCACCCACAGATGCCCTTTTCGGGGCCCCCTTTTTGCAAACAACAACAAGTCGAAACCATTTCCGTTTCCGTTTGCAGACCCCGGAGATCCAGAGCGATTTCTAGGGATCTCTCGTTACAGCCATTTTAACTGGTCGGCCAGACTTAGATTTGTTTTGGGTGCTTTGATGTGTCGAAATCTACTAAAAAAGTTAGCCAAGAAATTAATTCACTTAATATGTTTACTTATTAAGGTTATTATTAACAAACATTTTAGTATGACATTTTTATAAATTACGAATAGATTTAGTTAAGTGAATAGACTTATTGTTCCCTAAAATCTAAATTCAATTTGTTTTTCTTGAAACTTTAGCTAAAATAATTTAATTATAATAATAATAATAATAATAATTATTAATTAGGAAAAATCAGAGCAATCAGTTCTTGTACATTTCCTGAATTTACTCTACAGACTTTTCAGAGTGTTACCATTTCCGCTAGACAGTTTATATTACGTTTCTCCATTTTTATCGGAATTTTCCCTTATTTTTGCCATTTTTGCAATTTTATCCAAAGTCCGTCAGTGCATCCGCGGCTGGAACTTTTATTGAATTTCAGCTACGCTCCGCTGAGTTTGTTGTCCCTGTGGAGGGGTCACTGTTCCCTCGTTGTTTCTGTGGTGGCTAAGGTTTATTGCAAAATTCAGTTACAACAGTCCGCCAAATGTCTGTGGCCGTAAATGAAATTTCCTCGTTGGTCCGATTTCGTTTGCAGTCTTAAAACTGATATTTTTTACGTATTTCCATTTGATTTTTAGGTCTTCCCCACGAAGAGCCAAAAATCACTGGTGGACGACCGCGATACCAAATAGGAGACTATGTACGGGTCAATTGCACTGCTGGAAGCTCGAAACCGGCCATAAAACTATCCTGGCAAGTAAATGGAGAGCCTGTTGAACAGCAGAAGCTACGCAAATACGATAACATTGTTTCGGGACGAGAGGGTCTTGAGAAATCGGTGCTGGGCCTATATTTCCGAGTGGAACAGCATCACTTCCGCAATGGCGATATGAAGCTTAAGGTGAGTGTTGCAATTTATGTATTTAACTGTCGAACTTTCTTTTGGCTCAAAACAATCTCAAAAACAGTTTAGAATATGGAATGGGTAGCTGTGGGAATAGTATAATTTACAATATATATATTTATAGTTTTCCATTCTTACTTAGAAAATATGTGTCCTCTTATTTTTCTAAATTCCGTTTCTTTTATATACATTTTTCTTTATCTTATTAAAAGTTCCTAAGTTGTTTTGTAAGGATGTTCTTATAAATTGGTTTATAATTTGAAACGTATTCTCCTTGGTTATTTTAAGAACTTGTCCCTTAAAAAATGTCCTATATTATTCAATATTATTTTTATATATATTCTTTCTTATTTTCTGTTCAATTTCCTCTTAGCTTTTTTTTAGAGTATACCTATAAAATACACCCCTTAAAACTTATATTTTTGCTAGGTTCAAGACCATGCTAATTTAAAAATGGTTTTTAAATATATACCTTCATATTTACAGTTATTATTTAAGATATCTTTAAACATTGTAACTTATGCTTTTGGTTTGTTCGTGACCTTTTCCCACAACAGAAGTCCTTTGTTATTTGATATTCCACATTTGAATAAATTCTGTCATTAAAGGGGATTGAATTTAAAGATTGAAATTGTTTTCGAGCCGCGAAAGTTCGATGGTGTCCTGTACGCACAGCCAGCTAACGAGAATTTGTTGCATCTTGCAGTGCATAGCCGAGTTGTCGACCTTGTACTGGCGGAGCAACGAGGAGTCCGTGGAGGGCGACCGGCCGCAGAAGGCGCCCGTGCTCGAGTCCCGGGAAACGGTCTTTGCCAGCAACTCGCGCGCCGATCCCGTCCAAGGTATGTCTTACCGGGAATTGTTTGTGACCAAAATCTTATCGCTCTTGTTCGTCCATCCAAACGCAGCCAGTTCCACGGCTCCGTCGCCCACGACAGCCGCGCCGCCCCTCGTCCTCCTACTTCCGGTGGCGCTGGCGGTGGTGTTGGCAACCCTGGCGCAGGGGATCGCCAACGAAATAGATATAGATAAGATATCGATGGATGGGACAGCACCCGGAGGGAAAGCTATAGCGAAAGGAGCTCGACAGGCGAGTGAGTTGCTGGCTGACCGCGAGGAGGAAATTCGCAGGACGAGAGCCGGAAAATCCACGACGCAGCTGGAAAACATGGCTTTGACTGCACGGTAGCTGCATTAAGTCACAAGGCGGCCATTTCCCTCCACAGCAAACACACACTTTTCACCGATTTTTCCGTCTTCGCTTTGCATAGAAAAACAAACAAAGAAACTCAATGAAAATCAAAAACAGGAAATGAACAAAAAAAGAACAAAGAAATTTAAGCAAACGAAAGAAATGCTGCTAATTTATTTATGCCGTTAAAGAAAGCTTTCATGAATTTAATTTTAAAACACAAAAAACCAAAACTATCTAGAGCATAAATTACGAATACTTGTGTGAGATCGAGAAAAATTGTATGTGAAAAAGCGTGCAAAATGTTTTAACACTCTACGGAAATGTTAGGACCCGTGACGAATGAAGAAAAAACCATTGTAAATAGTTAATGTTTAATATATATATTTATGTAACTGTATTGTATGTTATTAATTGTTAAGCTCACTCACATACAAAACAGAATTTAAATATCACACGTATGGAATAGAGGGAAAATGAATGGAAAGTCCTTCTACAAAAGTTGGTCAAGGCAAAATACGAGTTTAACGAAATAAGAAAAAGAAGAATAATTATAAATACATAGGAGAAAGTATTGGTAAGAATTTCTTAGCTAAGTGAAAACTAAGAAGAATTTTAGGCAAACATACAGGCTGGATAAATTGTGAGCGCTACAGTGCATAGCGAAAGTATTGGCCTAAATAACTCAATACTACATGATTTATGTATGTTTAAATAAAACCCAGGCAATGCTGGCTCAATAAAGTAAAAGAAAATGTTTTAAATAAATACATAATTTCCAATTGACATCTTTTTAAAATTGGCTCACAAAATAGTAAACTTTCGTTAAGTACTGTAGAACCGCCACGCAAATTCATCCAAAACAACTAAAAATATGTCTTCTTTGAATAGATGATTTTTCTATAAAATTTCGTTGTTCGTCAAGCATGGATTAAATAATGTGAAATTGTAATTAGTTAAACAAGAATAATGCTACAGATAAGAAATCACATAAGAAGCAAACCAAAAAAGCACTTAATTTTAAATTTAAAAAACAAAAAATAAATGTAAAGAGAGAAAGCTAATCAAAGTTAGGAATTAAAACTTGGTGACTGTTGGAAACGTCTTAAAACTAACAAAAACATATCGTACATTTATATGAATTGCCAAAGTCTTAATGGGTATTAACTAAAAGCGAGTGCGTGCTTCTGAGTGTGTTTGATCCTTCCTGAAAAAAAAACTATTATCATTCCGGGTTCGACTTAGCCATCATCCACAGGAAATGTAAACCGTTTAGTTAGCCAAATATTAGAAAACAATAGCAAAAGTCAAAAGAACAAGCAAATTTAAACAATAGCAAAATGATTGTGATGAAGCCTTAATAACAAAGTAGAACTCAATTCAGACGTGAAATGAAGTGAAATGAAACGAAATCAAATGAAATGAAATGGATTTTATTGTGTAAATAGAAAGGCGCTTTGTCCATGGATTCCATACTGTTTTCCCCATTGATGTCCATAAATTCTGTGTGTAAATATGATTATGAGCTAACTAAATCAGAGTTAAGACGTCAGCGGCAGAAAAACAAAAATCACAGAAACGAAACAAAATAAAAAGCCAGAGCCAATTTTAATAATAAGCGAAAAACAATGAAAAAATATTAATTATACATTTAAATATTGATGAGCGGACATTCAAATGCTAATTGAGTACAATTGTGGGTGCCTGAGTGGGTGATTGTGTGTGCGAATGGGAATTAAAATAGGAATAGTTTATATTTAAATACACACACATACAAATACATATATATAAATCTGCATTGTTGTCAACTGTAACTGTTTTTTAAGTCTTATTTAATATCGATGCCATTAACTGCAATTAACGGGAAAATTACTAAAAACAAAAACTTAAAAACAATGCAAAAGTACTAAAAAGAATCTATAAATTGCATTAACGTTAATTCGAAAAACAAAACATAAATGTGTGGTAATTGTAAGTGTAAATTATTTGTGTATTTAAATAACAACTTTTAGATGTATAAAAAGTGCAAGAAAATAAAAAGCAAAATGCATTTGAATCTATATGATAAACTCTATGTGAAACCGTAAACAATTCAAACCTAACAAGCTGCCACGTAAGCAAATAGGAATTATTTGCAACTCAACTCAAATCAAATGCCATAAAGTAACTTCAACTGAATTTAAATGCCAGACGTAGGGGAGAAGTCTCTGTAAATATCTTTAAGCCTCATTCAATGTGCGAACCTTACTCGCAGGCAATTTAAAACGGAACGAAGAATTGTGAAGTAAAACGAGTGGAAATTCATTAATAAAACATATTTGTTTCAAAATCAAACGACGGACCTTATATTCAATTTTCTTAAAGGCAGTAATTGTAAGCTTACTCAAGGACCTCGGTGAGTTCACATATATTTTTTACTTTTTCCCCCTTGGAATTTGGCTTTTATTTATGTATTTTCAACATTAAGCCAACTTCAATTATTTGGCAAAGCTAGGGCAAGTTAACCTGTCCAGTTGCAGGAAGATACTTTCTCGGTATTCCTTTATTTATATTTGTTAGATGCAACACAAAGAAAATTGGGTAATTTTAAGAAAATATTTCAAATACGTGAAAATGTTCTCGCCGAACGTGACAACAGCCGTCGACGACAAATAAAAAAGTAATCGAGACCGAAGGGGGAACAGGGCGCCAAACATTTAGCAGTAAAAAAGAGCAGTTACCCGAAAAATAGAAATGCTAAAAAAAATGGACAAGTACAGCAATGTGGAGTAGAGATATGTGTACAAGGTTCATAAAAAAAGGTGTGGAAATGCAGTGAGCAGGGGGAATTCTGTTGGAAATTAAACTAAAAACTGAACGGAGTCTTAAGCCCAAAAATATAGATGGGGACAAGCATAAAAAAAAAATTGATAATAGTTTACAAAATTAAATAAAATTATGAATAAATAATAATACGAATATGGGGTGCAATACAAAAAAACTTTTAAACGTAATTTTAGGTGCCTAAACAGATGTTCACCATTTCCAGAATTTTTCCCTAAAACCCAACCCATATACAAAGCTTACCACCAACAAAGCTGGAAAATAAATAGAAAATATCTGCGGACTTATCCGTAAGTCGCACCTTAGCTTTGTCCTCGCCGGACTTCACTAATAAGCTGCCAACGAAATAAGAACATTTGATAAATACCGAGGACAAAGCCAAACAAATTATAAGTGTCGGGGATACAGGATAACAGGAGATGAGTCCGCAGATTTATTAGCCTGTCGACAAATGGCCGCAAGTGGGCAGACGGAAAGAAGTGCCCACCTGCTATCTTCGCCATCAAATGTCACATAAATCAGATTTGCCATCTAATGAAAGCAACATCCAGATTTCCGGGAACCACTAATACAGGAAGTCCACACGCAGTCCACTGGCTAATTCCCTATTTTGGTTGCCATAATTCCAGCTCCACTTAAGCTGTAGTTCTGGATGTCATCGCCTGCTATCTGGAAGATACTTTCGGCATATTAAGCCCAATTGTCTGGGGCTTAAAAGTTTCATGTTTGATTTCGCACAGATAAGAAGGCATCAATTTGCGGTACAGGTAAACTTTTTGATTGCCCCCTCACCTGGCACACACACACAATGATAACTTAAGCTGCTCATTCAAATAGGGGGGCGGAGAGTTACTGAAATGGGCGTGGTAAAGCTGTTAAAAACTGATGCCGATATGCCCGAAGGTTTAATTGGGCTCGTTCAATTGGAAGGAATATGCCATTTCAGGTGTGGGCTTGAAAGACATTTTGTTGGGAGTGGATTTCGGCTGGAAGGATTTTGGTAACGGAGAGGGAAACTTATTCAGCTCATGGCTGTTTTGGGAAAATAGTTGCTGAATTAAACTGGGAGTATAAGGAAAGCGAAAATGTTAAGTAGTCCTAGATATTAAATTTCGCACTGAAAAAAGTGTTCGTCCTGAATTTTAAACACAATTTTTAAGAAAGGCCCCGATGGACTTTCTAAAATTTAATTTAAATTATTAAGATAAGTTTAAATTAACCGATTTTTAATTTGTATTATTTTCTGAACAGTGGGAATTCTCGAATCCTTTAAAAAACCACTCTAATCGCAGTTGAATTCACTAAGTCATCTTCAATCAGTCCCCTAGCTGTTCGCTTGGTTTATCCATTACCCGATCAGGTTGAATTATCGCAGGCAGACAGACTGGATGATTGCACCTTGAATCGATTTCCATGCAACTCGATGAAAATAACAGAGAAATAGGGGCGACACCACTATTCACACAAAATGTCATGTCGCCGGCTGCCATTATTTGTTGCCATTCGTTGTTGTCGTCTTGTAGTGTTGTTAGCATTTGCAGCATTTGAAATGATTTGCAATAAAAGTGTCTGCCACTGTCCATTGGCCACGCCCCATTGGCAGATTACGTGCCACTTCAGTTGCCGTCCATTGGTCTTCTTGTCCTTGGTTTTGTTGTACTTGGCATTGTGGTTGTTGGTGTGGCTTATCCTGGCTTTCTAGGATGAGTTGGCATCGTCATTGTCCTTGCCACTGTCACGTAATTGCCTTTTGTTTACCCTGGTTTCTTCCACCACACCTCACACCTTGGCCTTTGGCCTTTCACGCATTTTCCAGGTGCAATCTGTGGCAGTTGAAATATGGTTATGAAATTGAGGGTAGAGACTTAAAAATCTTTCGGATTTTAAAAATAACATAATAAATATAATATAAATATATTAAAATATATAAAACCAAGTTTTAATATATGAAAGTTCTAAGAAAATAAAAAATTCAATGCTCTACAAATTAAATTTATTTTATTTGTTTGACATTATATCAAAATTCCTTGGATATACCTCCCTAATAAAAATCCGCTCCTGATCTGTAAGTCTGCAGGGGACAAAGCGCCAAAAAACGGAACAGCAATGGCTACAATCATCTTTCTTGCACTGCCATAAAAATGCGTGGCAACGAACAAATTACTCATAAAAATAAATAAAAAATTGCCGTCTTCCCGTCAGATTGTGTTTTGGCCAGTCCTTGGGTTGGCTGCAATTTCTGGCACATCATTCGGCATTGCCAGAGCCGTAAATTATATAGATTCTGGACAGCATTTCCACACTTTTCTGCCATGCAGGCCTTAGATGTTCGCCGGTCTGTCCCATTAAAAGCCATTTTGTCCGGGGAAATGGAAATGATTTCGTGTCATTGCAGTTACGTGTTGGTGAAAATACCAGGGCAAGTCCGGAAGCAGCATAGAAATACAGAAATTTCAACACGGCATTGCTGCTTTCATTTTTGACAAGTCTGTTTATTCTGGATGAAGATTAAATTTGGACCTGAGCAACTGGACAATGGATCCTAAAAAATCGTTGATTTTAAACCACGACTTAAGCCTTAAATACCTTGATTCAAACTCTGCCCAAAACTCACCATGTGGTCCCCAAAAGTAGGCAACCCATAAAATCAGTTCCCCAATTTACATTTTATCGAGAAGGCAGTTGCTGGCTCATTATGTTGGCCATTTTTATTGGCTTCCAAAGATTTGCAGTTCGGACCCAACTCTCGGGATCGAACCTTAAAACAGGAACTCGCACACGCACCCTCTTCTTGTGCTGATTTCATCAGAAAATACATTTTGTTACCTGGAATTTTTTATGGCCCCCAGCTTTTCGGAGGGGTGTGGCAATGTGTTGTGGCAATTTTCATATATCTAAACAAAAGGAAAGTTTCCCCTTTTTCCTGCTTATCTGGCCGCAAATGGTTGAAGCCATCTTAAGCGACAGCCGACTCAGCCGATATTTGATTTTTTACGACTTTCAACCCACACTGAATCCTTTTCGTTGCGATTTACTTCCGCTTAAAATAACAATTTGAAATTGGTTTTACTGCCTCGAGGTTGGATTTTCTCCTCTCGTTCTGTGTTTATGTCGCCTCGCATTCTGATCGCTTTGCATAAGCGCCTTTCAGCAATTTGCTTTGCCCCTGACCATTTGCTATATGCGGCTTAAAGTGCCACTCCCCATCCCTTTAACCTTTCCGGAGTCAAGTGCATTAGATCCGGAAAAGCTGCACTCGAAGGGGTGAAAAGGGGAGGCATTATTTTGGCAGGGGCCAGGGGTCCCGAAAAGCAAACTTTTGTGCACCAGACAATAATTGAAAATGCCCTCTTTCCCAGTGTGCGTGTTGGCCCAACTTTGTGTGCTGGCATTAAATTTATGTTAATTGAAATTTATGTGCGCTGGCCACAGCTCAAGTTCAAACAAACAAAATTCGACAAAAAAAGAATGCAAAACGGGCTTTGGAAAATGGCAAACTTTTCCTGACATGGGCTTCCAGCCTGGTTAGCTAGTCTAAAATAAATTCAATTCGCCGCTCTCTCTGTTTCAACATTACATAAATTGATTGTCGTTTGTAGTGAAATATAAATCACATTCAAATTAAATTTACTCGGTTGTAGCCGTTGGCAATTTGTGGTTAATACAATGGTTTGCTGTTACAATTTAATCGAACATTTAGCTTTTTGCGTGTCTGAATGGAACTGAATACTTTGTAATTTAAATTCTGTACAGAACTTACTTAAATGTTTTTACAAATGTTGGTCGCAATGTGTTTATAAGTCTATAAATTTTATTCGGACTTTTTTTTAACCCTCCAAATTTTCTATAAGGGCGCCAATCTACCGCCCAGGTGATACTGGAACATCATTTTTTTAAGTAATAATCTGTATCAGAGTCAACTCCAACTTTACTGTGTAAAGGATCCGCAGGGGAAGACCCTCCAAGGAGAGTGGGCTCAGAATGGCATTTATTAAGGCTACTATATGGATCACCTTGTTAAATACGGCCACAAAGGATCGGTTCCAAGACAAACTACTCAGCTAGTAATATAGACGACCGGTATTCAAATGGATAGTTTCATTGGAATGGCACCCACCAGTTCATAAAATAGTTCATTTATATTAACAGAAATATTGCGGTCATTATACTCTCAATAAAAAATAATCAAGGAAAAGAGCGAATATCTTTAATCACTGAGCAATTCGATTGATCCAAATGTTTCTAGGTTGTACGACTAGATTTCTCTTCTTCGGATCGTACTTCAATTGCCCAAAAACACAGCCAGAATAAAAAATTTATGAGGACCGCCACTTTTTACTATTATTTCTCTGAGTGTACCAGTGTCCCACTTCTGGCATTATGCGGGCCCATAATGAGACCCATGTTTCCGGGTCAAACATAAGTGCTGTACCAGAGGCTATAATTGAAGGGGAAGGGAATATAATGACCATAGCATTTCCTCCAACTCCATCGAAATCGTTTTGTTTATGTGTTTATGTAAGCAATTAACTTAACCACAAATTTATAAAATTATCCAGAAGAAAGAGCCCAATATGCAGAATGTAACCAATCATTAATATAACACATACAAATTTTTGGGAGTCCAGTTTCATTTTACTATAATAAAACATTAAAATATAAATACATACATAACGACAAGAACGATGAACATAAGTAACAATAACGTTTTGTGATAAGCATAAAATTTTACCAAAATAAATTTTGTTTATTTATTAGCCGGCAGTTAATAAATTACATACTTTCTTTTTCAAAGTTCTCCATATCATATTGAATTAGGAAGATTGAATGCGATAAAAGATTTGCAAACATGGCCATGGTAGTTCCTCGATTGACGTCGTACAATTTCATTACATCAATTTTAAAAGGATTTCGAATCAGCTGGAGCTGGAGTTTTTCAAACTAGAGAGGATCAAAATACATTTGAAAGATCTGTAAAATATAGGTGTTTAAAACATACGGCTTCCTCGAGACGAACATCCAACCCGGGTGCAAATAGGGTTCGCTCTTCCAGTAGACGGAGCATTTCCTCGTGATCATCCTGGACATATAGCATAACGGACATATTTAGCATACCATCGAGGTAGTAAAAAAAGCACCAAACTAAAGACAGGATCACAGAGGTTAGAGTCATGTTCATATTTTCGTAGCCATATTTAAGGATACTGTAGATCAGGTATATATATGATACCGAGGAGAGGTAGTATCCCCCATAGACCAAGGCCCCCTGAACGCCGAATACTTCTTCCAATTGTTTCATAATCAACTGCAGCTGACTCTGGACCTTGGCTAAATCCTCTAGCTGATCCGCCAAGTTGCAACACCTGGTCATGAAAGTCCCCTGTCGTGGAGGATTCCAACTTAGCTCATTGGATTCTTCAATCACCTTGCGGAGTTCAGTATTCAGTAGCTGATACTGGGTGCGAATGAAAAGCATTATAAGGTAATGCTGCGATATGGCCAGATTCAGTATAGCCGACGTCCAGTACTGCAGGCCCATTCCCAAGTAGAACTGAGAGCCCACACGATCCATGGCATCCAATAAGACCGCCATTTGGAGTAAGTCGGTCACAGATCCAGAGATAAACTTGACAAGAATACCCCAGCGAGACATTCTTTTCACCTGCGGCCTGGCATGAAATACTTGAATCACCATTCTCGTCAGATCCATAATCTTGCAGCGCTGATACCATCTGTGAATCAATGTAAAAAGTCCTGAAAATGTTGATAATGAGCTTACTGAAGAGTTCTTGAAATATTTTGCACTACCTATGGCAATCCTTAGACCCGTCATAATGACGGTAACAAATTCATGCAGCTGGTTTGCTTTTCCGAAGATCAAATTAATAATATTGGTATGTCCGGTCCAGTGATAGGTACACAAAATAAAAATAGTGGAATTGATAGCGACTGCATAGAATGTACTCTTTTTGGCAGTATACACACGACCAGTATGCCAGTTGAACTCAAAGTTACTAACTCCGATGACGTGACCATAATAATAGACGAACCCCAGTATAAAACTTTCCACGTCAACCATTTCACTGAAAGTGTCCTCATTTTTGTCATTCTGCAGTGGGGAATTATATTACGGCTGAACCTAATGCCCTGATTCCGAATAAAGATAAGATTAATAAGATTGAAAAAGGGTAAAACCTATTGGGTAATAAGATATGATGATTGAATGAAGTTTAAATGCCACTTGTGCTGTATATCAATACATTTAATTTAATGTGACTCCGCTTAATTTAAAAATATTTCATGTCAAATTGAATAAGAAATATGGAATTAGCTATTATAGAACCAATCATGGCTGCAGTTGCGCTACGAGTGATGGGAAACATTCCCATGACATCCAGTGTCAATGGGTTTCGAAGAAGCTGCAGCTGGAGACTCTCGAACTGCAAGAAAATGGCTACATTAAAATAAATATAACCAAGTTGATATAATCTTACCGATTCCTCCAAGCGAACATCCAAGCGAGACGCAAAAACTGTCCTCTCTTCCAAGAGACGCAACATTTCGTTATGATGATCCCGCACGTATAGCATATTAAAACAATTTATTGATCCATCGAGATAGTAAAAGAAGCACCAAACGCCAGCCAGGATCATGGTTTTAACAGACATATTTAGAGTTTCGTGACCATACTTATATACGCTGTAAGCCATATAATAAGCACCGATACATGATATGTAGTATCCGGCATACGCCATCAGGCCCTGGATGCCGAAACCCTCTGCCACCTCGACCAAAATCGACTGCAGCTGACTCTGGACTTTTCCTATATCTTCCAACTGATCCGATAGATAGCAACATCTAGTCATGAAAGCACCCCCTCGCTTTTGGAGGTAGCTTAGCCTAAGGCTTTCATTTATCACTTGTCTTAGCCTTATATTTACAATCTTATATTGCCCACGAACGAAGAGCATTATAAAATAGTGCTGCGCTATGGCCAGATTCAGAATAAATGAAACGCAGGTATGCAAAGTCACACCTATAATTGCTGAGGAATCCAGACGACCCAATGCACTCACGGAGTTAACCACTTGGAAGAGGTCAGTCCCACCACCAGTAAAGAACTTCAGTAAAAGTCCCCAGCGGATCATTTTCTTCACCTGCGGATTGGCCATATACAAGCAAATTATTTCTCTGCTCAGTTTCATCGTCTGGCTACGCTGAAGCCATCTATTGAGCACCGTAACAAGTCCTGAAAATGATAAAGGTATATTAAACATATCGAGACATGTAATTTTTAATTTTTTTACTAACCTGCAGTGATTCTTAAGCCGGACATAATAATAAAAACATATTCATGCAGTTTGTTGGCGCTTCGGAATACAAAATTAGCATTACTTTGTCCGGTCCAATAAAAAATTAGGGCCATCACCATAAGTGCGTTTATCGTGAAGGCTTGCAGAGTAGTTCGCAACGATGTGAATACGCGACCTGTTCGCCAATCGTATACAAAATTGCTCAGCCCTATGAAGTGGCAGTAAAAGTAGACTCCCCTCAGCAATAAACCGACCCAGTCGAACATTTCGAAAAACTAAAACCAGACTCACTATTTCTGCGCAGGGTAATTACTTTATGTCGATGACTACGTTGGATTAGATAAAATATAAAAAGCAAGCAACTACTGCAAATAAGATTGGATAAAGACAGCTACACAGACAACATTTTCGTTGGTAAAAACAAAAAATTAATAAAGTATGTTAACTATAAACAATATTGAAAACTTGCTTCAGAAATCCAAAGCATATTTGATTCAGGCTTAAATATATATATATATATACTACATACATATGATTTGTTTAACAAATAACATATATTTTTAAAAGGGAATATCTTAAATTATTTGCGTATTTTTAAGCAAAATCTATTTTCGTATAATTTTTTCACTATATAACATCAAAGAAACATAAGTGACAAAAAGTAACATTTTTTTATACTATTTAAAAATTTTAGAGTGTTACTGATTTTTGAACGGGTAATAATGCATTATTTTTATAATTGAAACCATATTAAAAGTGTTCTAGGTCATATTGAATAAGTAATATTGTGTGCATAAAAATGGAGCCAAGCATAGCAGCGATCGAGCTCCGTGTGATAAGAAACATTCCCATGACATCTACTTTTAGAGGGTTCCGAACCAGTTGCAGCTGAAAGCTCTCAAACTGAAAACAAATATTTAATAGCAAAACAATAATCGAAATAAAATATCTTACAGATTTTTCGAGGCAATCATCCAAGCGAGAAGCAAACAATGTTCTTCTCCCCAATAGGCGATTAGTTTTCTTGTGATCATCAATGGTATACATAATGTTAGTTATATTGAGCAAGCCATTCAGATTGTATAAAAACGACCAACTGCAGGCCCAAAAAATGCTTCGCGGTGTATAATTCAAGTTCCTTGTACCATATTTAAAGGTGGAATAGATTAGATAGCCGAAGGATACCGAAGTCATATAGAATTCGGCAAATATCGCAATCGTCTGGATGCCAAGTAGTTCACCAAAACGCATAAAAATCGAATACAGCTGGTCCTGGAGTTCGGCAATACTTTCCAACTCACTCGATAGATAGGAACATCTAGTGACGAAAGCACCGTCCCGCTGAGGAAGGCCACTTAGCCTCTCACATTCTCTGATTACTTCTTGCAGTTTATCGTTTATAACCTTATATCGCGTTCGAACAAATAACAGTATCAAGAAATTTTGTAATACGGCTAGACTTGAAATGCAGAAGGTCCAAGACATCATTAATATCATGAGATTATGTCGGAAATGCATGATAGTCATAACTTGTACAGTCTTGACAACATAGAGAAGAAAAAGCACAAAGGTGGTAAGGATTTTTGAGAAAATACACCAGCGAAATGATCTCTTGTACTCCGGAACATCCAGTGAAAAACGAAAAATATATTTTATTATCTGAATAAGCTGGTTGCGCTTGCGCCACCTATTGAGCAGTGAAGAGAGTCCTAAGAAAAGTTTCAAATAAATCAGTTTTGAAACATATTTGAACATATGGAAACATTGCATCACCTGCAATTATCCTCAGACCGGTCACTGTGAATACCACGCTCGCCTGCAGCTTGTTGGTTTTTCCACTCATCGCCGTGAAATCTGCTATCTCTATCAAACAGTATACAAGGGAAATACAAAATATGATATTGATCGAGGCGGCGTAGAGAGTACATCTCTGCGACTTGAATACACGTCCCGATTGCTGGTCAAACTCAAAATTAGTCAAGCCGATCAAGAAGCATTTAAAGTTAACTGCTTTTAGCAACCAACCGACCCAGTCAACCATTTTGTAAAACTAAAGTTTAGGGTCTTCGAAGCGGTTACCTAACGAGGAAAATACTTTGTTACGTTGCTACGACTGACATTTACAAATGGCGGCTATTTCAAACGAAGATGTTTCTTTCAAGATAAATGCATGTTAATATTTCAAAAATTGTTATTCAGCACTAAATTAGAAACACAAACCAAGTTAAAAGATTTTTTGGAGTTAATAATATAATTTATTTGGAAAGTTTAGGAACTATACTTTATTTGTCTTATGGAAAATGCACCTTAAAACAAGGAAGAATGCTATAGTCGAGTACCTCGACCATCAGATACCCGTTACTCAGCTAAAGGGACCAAAGGGAAATAGAGATATGCAAGCAGCAAAGCGAGATTAAAATGCGCCACCTACCGGCGGTGGACAGATTTAAGCGTTATGGGCGTTAGTGTGGGCGTGTCAATTTTTTTTTTTTTTTAAATCGATAGGTATTGACGAGACTAATACATTTCAGTTAAATGTTTTTATCTAGCATGAAAATTGTAGGCGTCACAGGTTTGGGCAGTTTGTGGGCGTTAAAGTGGGTGTGGCAAACTTTTTTTAAGTCAATCGATAGGTATTGATGAGAACTATACACTTCAGTTAAAATTTTTATTCTAGCACTAAAACTGTAGGAGCCACAGTTTGGGCGGTTTGTGGGCGTTAGAGTGGGCGTGGCACGCTGCTGAATCAAACTTGCGCTGCGTAAGAAGCTCAGGAATCTGCACGCCAAATCTTAATAGCCTAGCTCCCATAGTTTCCGAGATCTCAGCGTTCATCTGGACAGAGAGACAGACGCACATGGCTAGATCGACTCGGCTAGTGATCCTGATCAAGAATATATATACTTTATGGGGTCGAAAACCCTTTCTTCTGCCTGTTACATACTTTCCGACGAATCTAGTATAACCTTTTACTCTACGAGTAACGGGTATAATTAGCATTACTTTGTCCTGTCCAATAAATATCAAGGGCCATCACAATAAGTACGTTTGTCGTGATGGCTTGCAGAGTAGTTCGCAAAGATGTGAATATGCGACCTGTTCGCCAATCGTATACAAAATTGCTCAGCCCTATGAAGAGGCAGTAAAAATAGACTGCCCTCAACGACAAACCGACCCAATCGAACATTTCGAAAAACTAAAAGCCGTACTTTATGTCAATGACTACTTTGAATTAAATAAAATAGAAAAAACAAGTAAATATTTCAAATAAGATTGGATAAAGAGAGTTGCACAGAAAAAATTTTCGTTGGTTGAAACAAATAATTGTTTAAGTAAATTAGTTCAGATTTTTATATATAAGTACTTATGATTTGTTTAACAAATACTATATATTTTTTAAAGGTTATACCTTAGGTTATGTGCATATTTTTCAGCAAAATCTATTTTTCTATTATTTTCCCACCTTATGATATCAAAGAAACATAGGTGGCGAAAAAAAACATTTTTTTATACTATTTAAAAATTTTACAGTGTTACAGCTTTTTGAGCGGGTAATAATGCATCATTTCTATGAATGAAACCATATTAAAAGTGTTCTAGGTCATATTGAATAAGTAATATTGTGTGCATAAAAATGGAGCCAAGCATAGCAGCGATCGAGCTCCGTGTGATAAGAAACATTCCCATGACATCCACTTTTAGAGGGTTCCGAACCAGTTGCAGCTGAAAGCTCTCAAACTGAAAACAAATATTTTATAGCAAACAGATAAT